AAACTCTGGGTCATGATGGGTCTCAGGATAAAGGGGAAGTGTGGTTTCAGTGGATGTAACCTCTCCATATACTGAGCTATCTAAGGCGAACGCCTATACATGATCCAGGGTCCAAGAACTATCGGACCAGCAGATACGCTAATTCGCCGGCATTCAACGGCGAGTCTATCGGGGAAGCTGGGTCGCTGCAGGCATCGTGTTCGGCCCTGTAAGCCCGGACTGCTCTGATGGGACGACGTTCGACTCCGGTATAGTGATCAAGTACGAAGGAGAGAGACCAAATTAGGCATGGATGCTAATTCTCGACGTCGTTCGCGGTGCCCATCACTCCTTCTAGACTTTTCTCGGTACTTTCCCACTCCCTCCTCACCGCATCCAATACCCATGGTCCTCGAGGCTTCAGACGGAACCTAAATGGCCTTGGCTCAGTCATGAAGCCAACGACTATCATTTGCCATGGATCCACCTCTTCTCCCTGTATGGCTTCCACATCAAACGCCCATAGCAGATTTGCGATATTCATGAATGTTCCGTCAGTAGCGACACGCTTTCCTTGACATATCCTTCGACCTTGGCCAAACACAGGGAGTGGCAGATCACCGCGGACCTTCCCATCACGCAACCAGCGCTCAGGAACAAATTCCTGTGCATCACCAAGCGAAGGATCGAAGACTGCCTCGTCGCGGCCGATGGCCCACGCGTTCGCCATGATGGTCACACCCTTGGCAATCTTCACGCCAGCGAACTCATCCGCGTGATCAGCACGGCGCGGAATAGAACCAGGAGATATGGGTCGCCATCTGAATAATTCATGTGCTATAGCGTCAACGTAGGCGAGGTTGTTACGGTCCGAGAATGTAGGGAGACGCTCTCTGCCAACGACTCTGTCTAGTACTTCATGCGCACGGGTCATGATCTCCGGATTGTGCATTGCTGCGACGAAGAGCCAGAGAATCTGACGAGGGGACGTTTCCATACCACCCTGAATAGATGTCGCGAGTGTGAAGGCAAGGTCAAGATCGGACACTGGCGAGTCGGTAGGAGCATATTTCGGTGCGGATGCGATTGCTTGCTTTGTCGCATTCCAGCCTGGCGCATCTCTACCATGGTGGAAGAGGCGCATGTAGAGCTTGACCTGAGCCGCGTAAAGCTTGTCAGCATACTGCTGCCACGGGGAGATGAAAGTAGGCAAGTGTCGAAGAACTGGCATAAGATCCGGGAGCTGCGGATTCGCGGCCAGATGTGTGACCTTCGCTTGAATTGCAATGACTTCATGCAGGATTGGCTCTTCGAACTTGGGTATGCGGAGACCGTAATGGAGGGCAAGGATGACACTGGACTGGGTCCGCTCGAGCAGAGGATATATCGTCTTCGTGGTGATTGTGGAATCATCTTTGGACTTGTCCAAAGCAGCGATGAGATCGAAGAGCAGTTGCTTAACCTCGAGTTCCATAAGAGGTTGATACTTGCTTGCCGCCGGCGCACCAAGACTTGGTGAAAGAATGCGGTGGTGTAGTTTAAGGTGATCGTCGTAGTCATGCATCAGCGTAAATCGAGAACGACCTGGCCCAGCCCCAGTAATCATCTCCATGCTCACTGAGGCCGGTCGGTTGCTGTACCATTGGCTACGGCGACTGAAGAGTTCAGTGACGGCCTCGTACGAGTTGAGCACGACAATGGGCACAATTCCAAACAGCTTGGGAACCGTAATCGGGCCGTGTTGTTTCGACCAGGCGCTCCAGTTTACCAGTGGTTTCTCGATTGGCGAGCTGTGGAGATCACCAATGAGCGGCAGCTTGAGGAGGGGCTTCTCGGATGCATCTTTGCTCTTGTTGGTGTAAAGGTAAAGTGCGGTCAGGGCACTCACGGCCAGAAGGACGGTCACGACAAGGCTGGACATGGCTGGAGGAGCAACCCACGAAAGCTGTGGGCGACACAACCACTTGTAGGTGTCCAGAATGGCGGATACGTGCATGCACGGCATTACTCAAGTGGATTGTTCCTGGAGCCATGTCCAAAACGAGTTAGCCCAGCCGGCACTTGGCAACAACGGCCACCTTTCGCGTATGAAGCCCCGAAATCGTGATAACAGCTTGTTCGGATCTGGACGGCAGTGTCTCGGCGCCATGCCCTCGTATTGCGCGTGATGGGCTCTTCTTCTTGCGACTAGACTCCCATCACAGTTGCCGCCATCACTGGCGTGATCAAAATCGGAAGACCCGAAACGTTCCCCGGACAGCATCGCATTGCACATAAACCAAGCGCTGCGTGCGCGCGTGGGCTGAGAGGCTCTGATATAGATCTGCTCGGGTATGCATGGCGAAACCGTTCGCGTCGCGGCACACGCTTTATCCGGTTTTTACACCGCAGCCCGCCCTCCCCAGGGCCTGAAGCGTAGTGGGCAGGCTCGGATGGGAGAACCTGCATGCGCAGGTCTTGTACAAGAGGAAAGGCAGGTCACGCGTCCTATCAGCAACGAGAATACGACACCGCACAGGATATGCCCCAAAGCCTAGCCGGATGGGGCCGCTGTCACGGCTTTAGTGCCGTGGGCCTAGTCGGGGTGAACGCCTGAGCCGGCACGTCGGGTGAGGAACGGCTCTTCAGGCCTGCGAAGGATTTCTTGTTGGAATCCTAAGCCAAGGGGTATCTTGATCAGCGCGGGAAAAGACATGGGGTGCGCAAACAGAAATGCGAGGCTTCGCACGGGGAAGTCGGCAGCTCATATGCCCAGCTCCTCCCCAAGATCGATCTTCCCGCAGTGGACCAGCTTGTTTATACACCTCCGAGCCTGCGACGATACAGACGTCGGCGCGTGAGTCGCACACCAGAGTATTGCATCGGGATCTGCACGACAATATGACCACCACATTTCCTATTCGAACTCATGACCAGAGAGCAGTACTAGGTGTCGCATTCAGCTTCTCAATTCTTGCTGCACTGGCCGTCACCCTACGACTGATCGCTCACGCGATTGCTCACAAAAGATGGACAATTGCCGACTACTTCATCATTGCCGCCTGTGTAAGAACTTCAGCTCCGGATATCGCCAACACTACTAATACTTTGCAGATTTTCGCTATCGGCCTGCAATCTACTAGTATTACCGGAGTCTTTCATGCCGGCATTGGCTACGATCACGTCCAGAACATCGTAGTAGCGTACGGCCTCGAACCTATCACCAAGCTCTCGCAGCTCATCATACCCCTGCAGTTTCTGTGGGTTCTGAGTCTTAGCTGTACCAAGATTTCGATTCTGTCTCTGTATATTCTGATCTTTCCGATCCGATGGGTGGTCTGGAGCTCCTACGTGACCATGGTCATCATCGTCGCTTGGACAATCGCAACTATCCTCGCTGGCTGTCTGATTTGCCGGCCCTTCGCCTACAATTGGGATAAATCGATTCCTGGAGGAAGCTGTAGCGATCAAGTCACCTCATTCACGATTACCGGAGTCATCAACTTGGTCACCGACGTCATGGTACTTCTTCTGCCCATGCGTCCGTTATATCAACTGCAAATGGCGACGTACAAAAGAGTGACTCTCGTCGCCGTTTTCGGCCTGGGTACTTTGTGAGTCGAATTGAGATCCTGACGTCAGCTCTGATCTAACCGGAGCAGTACCTGCATCGTCAGCGCTTTCCGCATCTCCGTCCTATCCAGCATGGACTTTACCGATATCACCTATACGATCCCCAAAGCCAATATCTTCAGTGGCCTGGAGCCATGCCTCGCCGTAGTCCTCGCATGCGTGCCTCTGATGCATCCACTTCTCGGTCGCTCCGCAGCAACACCTCACGCGTCAGGGAAAAAGAAGTCCTCGAATGCTGAGTCAAAGTCCAGTGGGCCGAAAGCTGTCAGCGACGACGGGTTCGAGCGGCTAGACGATGATACGAGTCACTTGTGGCTCAAACCGATGGGGCTGCAGCATCGCGCTGATGAATCGGATTTGCAGGAAACTATAACAGGAGATACAAGCGAAGGAGATCAGGAGTCTCTTCATAGACATCGGGGAAACATAGGCATAGCTACTTGAGCTGTTGGCTCTCTTAGATCCTAGTAACGATCACACGACCTGAGGAATAATCATAAACGAGTCCCGATATTCCCTGCTATCTCTTGCTAGTGCCACCAAGCCTTCTTGCAAGTAGGTAGTGCGAACTTGAGTCTGGAGACAGTCGCGCCGGTCGATCCAACGCTTGACAGGAAATTTCGGAGGTATCTGCACAATCCGGTCGGCTGCTCATATCCGATGTTAGCATGCTGATGACAAGTCTAACAAGCGGTTATACACAACACTCCGGCTGTAGCATCTCATAGGTCTAGTAGGGATCAGCGTTTGCAAGGAAAGGTTGAGAACGTCGAGAGGAAGCGACCGGCGTGAAGATCTTGGCGTTACCATGGCCCGTGCTCGCCACCCGTCCCCGCTTTCTTGTCACGCGTCATTCACGCGTCATTCACGCGTCGGACATTCCTACTTCCATGCCATCAACTTTGCTTTCCGACTGCAGCACCCCTACTTTTTGACATCGACGAGTATCTTGATGTGTTTATCCTTCTCGTGTAGCAGCGCGAGAATACCATCTTCCACCACTCTATCCATCGAGATCGTGCGCGTGATCATCTTCTCCGCATCGATCGTTCCTTTATCCAGCGCGTCAATAACTCGCTCGAAATCTTCACTGGTGTAGCTCAGCGCTCGGGATAAGTCAGCATGGCTTCGAATCATGCCATTGGTTTCGCGTGATGCCTTACCTGTAACCAACCTCTTTTCCCCAACCAGCAGATTGTCTGGGTTGAAGGGAATCTCTCTGCCCCACTGCGCAACATTCACCACCGTTCCCCTGCTTCGAACTGACAGACAGGCGGACTTGATACTGGCAGCCACTCCAGCGCAGTCAAAAGCAACATCAGGGCCTTGGTCATTGCAAAGCATCTTGCATCTGGAGACCACATCTTCGTCCGACGGATCGATCGCCGCCGTAGCTCCAAACTGTAGAGCTAAGTCCCTTCGATTCTGAGCAACTTCAGCAACTATCACCTGGGCAGTATGCAAGGCTTTCAGGCACTGGGGGATGGCCAAACCAATCGGACCGGCGCCGATAACCAGGATGTTGTCCCCTGCTTTGGCAGCCGACTGTTCGACAGCATGCCACGCCACTGCAAGCGGTTCGACCAAAGCTACGCCTATCTGTCAGTGTCTTTCCCTACCTCAAGTGAGCTTCCCGACTGTCTTACCTCCGATCTCTGACGTTATCTTCTCAGGCAGTTTGAACACGAATTGCGCATCTACGCACACCCGATCCGATAACCCACCTCCCCAACCCATGATTCCCACGAACCCAAACGAATCGCAACAATTGGTAAAGCCGCCTTTGCACGAAACGCACTGCTTGCAGCAAATGGTGGGCTGAACGGCCACTCTGTCTCCAACCTTGAGACCTTTGCGCACCTGCGCTCCGACCTCGACGATGTCCCCAGAAAACTCATGCCCGAGAGTTAGAGGCCATGTCTCGCCGGTAATCGGATGAGGCGTGTTTTTGAAAGGAAGAGCATCCGGTATGCAGTAGAAGTGCAGGTCAGACCCGCAGATCCCACAAAAGGAAGGTCGAATCTTCACTTGATGGGCATCACATGTCGGCTCTGGAACGTCGTATTCCAGACGCATGTCCTCGGTCCCATAGTAGCGAAGAGCCCGCATATTGGTGGTACGAATGGGTTGGACGAAGCAGTCTGAGAAGGTACAATTTCGTGGTTGAGTATCGACCACAGACAAGTGAATGTATTGTACGAAAGCAGTCGTAAGTTCATAGGCGAATATACATGCTAATCTTATAGCTCTATACTGAGGCTGACGTTAGAAGGAAGGAGGGGTACTAGCCGACGTCTCGCAAGATGCGTGTCAGCCCTAGAGACTCATGCGCAAAACGCGCCAATGCTAGACAACGTCAGAATCACTGCATATCATACCAAGCGGAAGAAAATTACGTCACAGAACTGATGTTATTCTATTTCAAACGTGTATTGACGTTCCATCTTGGGGAAACAGTATCGCTCAAGGCGAGTTTACATCTTGACTTTCTCTGCTTTTACATGAATTCTTAACGATACGGTAACTACGTGTCATCTCAGATCACTGACACTTCAAAGTCCGGTAAGCAGATCAACTTCCAGCTTGATCAAACCGCGCCCCCGGGCCTTCAAAATAAGCTAACACAGCATCGATATCTCCGACCGTGAATTCACGGCCACAAGGATGCGTATGGGACCGCGCCCACCGCGCCGCACGAGCCAGCTCGCCCCAATTGTTCGGGTCTTGCGCCTCCGGACAATCCAACAAACGCATGCCAGGATGATAAGAAAACCGAGGCACAAGCGACGTCGACGCCAATCGTTCCACGTCGCTGTAGTCAAAGGTCTGGTTTGCTGCCATGAGTGCATCCATTTGCCCTGCTGCTTCCTGGGGATCGAGGTATAGCCAAGAGTCGGGGAAAGCGTTGTCGTCTTGTACATAGCCTTCGGGTATGCAGATATCGGGAATGGCGGGCAAGTCTACCTGGGCTGGCTGAGAAGCCTGGTATACGAGCTCTGATGCTACTGCCGCAGCGGCCTCTTGCGACCTCGATCGTACTGGGTGCGCTTGGAGTGGGTGGCTATAGCTGTGCTCATTGAAGTTCAACCCGTTGTACTCTTGGGGATGTGACTGCATCTGCGGAGGCCACTGGGGTAGATCTTGGGAGTTGGCTTCCATCGCGGGTGGATGCTGTACAGCATTCGGCATTAAGACGCCCATTCCCGTCGGAGGCATACTGCTGTACCCTTCATCCCAGGACGAGAAGCCAGCCATCGGCTGCATTTGCTGTTGAGCCAATGGGTCCATCGGAAAGGCTCCAAGCGGCGAAGGCTGACCAGGGTAGAAATAGGGAACAGAGTGAGCGACCTCCTCCTCGGCAGCCTGTCGCTGGCGCCGCTGTTCATGCAGCTGCTTACGACGCTCACTTTCTGCCACTCGCACTACTTCGGAGTATCGACTTATGATAGCTTCATCGTAACGATTTCGGGTAGTTTCAGTGGGACCAATGCATCTGAGAATGAGCTGGATATCATCCGGGAACATAAAGTCCGTCATCTGGCCGTGCTCATCAAGCTTCTGGTACCGCAGCGCGAAGTCCAATGCGCGAGTAAGATCACCCATGTCGTCATTCACGGGCAGACTCTTCAGACCAATCGCTAAGTTCTTGAATGGTATTGATGGTGGTGGAACATAATCAGCTTTCTTTGCAGCTTCCGGAAGGAAATTGTTGATGCACATCACCGACTTATCCCAGTTACCTGGGACGTAATGCTTCGCTTTGGTCCAGGTTGGGTAGGTTCTGCGCATCGTCTTTCGATATGTGTCCGAGATATGGTCGCGGGCGCGCTCTGCTTCCTCGGAACTGGTCAAGCCGAGGTGACGATGCTTGTCCAGAATTGCAAAGTGAACTGCAGCAGTGATGCCGTTGTTCAGCATGCGGTATGCGACAGCAGGATTGCGGAACCATTGTGGGAGTATTACAATCAGATCCACGAGAGTTGCATTGATTGGCCTATCGCAACGCAGCTTATACTCGTGGGCCGGAATGTCAACCAGGAATTGAGCGCGAGGCTTTCCTCTCGCAGGAGCTTTTGGCACTGCTGTGTCATCCCCCTTCTTTGTAGGGAGTTGATGTGGCGTAGGCGAACCTCCAGGGCCCGCTTGCATTGCGTTTCGGTGTGGTAATGGCGTGTAGCCTGTATCAGGCTCCGTGAAACTCATACTATCTTCGGGACAGTTACAGTCAATTCTAGTAGATTCTAGCGAGAGTGGTGGTAAGTTGCGAGGTGGTGGGTCTGTGCCAAGGGCAGAGTAGAGCGGTTGATATACTTGAGGCGCAACAGCAAGCAGAGTGAATACGAAGAGAGTGAACTAACTTTCACTGACCGTTGCGGTGAAGCCTATTCTACCATGGCTTCGTATCCCTTAGTATGTTCGATAAGAGAGCTTCATTTCTGCGCCGAAAATCATCGCCTTGGAAAGATTGAAGAACGAGGGCATTCTGAAGGAAGTGAATATGATCTGGCTTTCATGCTGATCTCGTATAATATCTCCAAGACTTTCTGAATGTGCCATGATTAAAGGCGTACCAATGCCGGACTCAGAGGCCTAGCAGCTTCAAACGCCCTTTCAGCTGGGAAAATATCCTGGCGGATAGTTCCAAACTTCTTTGATGCCAGCATAACTCGGGAAGTTTCCACCTTCAGCAGTATTATCTTGAGTCAAATCGATAACCTCCGCAGTCGCAGCTGCCAGCTTCACCTTCTTGCGTCTCTTGTCTTGCTCGAATCTGCTGTTTCCCAAGAGCAGCTTCTTTTTCCTAACCCTTCTCTCTTTTGCCAGGCGTTGAGAAAGCACGCCTTCTGGCTCGTGGTATTGATCCCAGTGACATAGATGAACTGACTCTATTTCCCATGTGTGACTCATTAGGTCGACGTTCGCAGGCCGGTTGAGAAGGAGCAGAGGTCGACATGGGCCAAAGTTTTCTGGCACGACTTCCCACTCGTTACGCCAGACTCTAGTGGTGACAGCATCTTCGTACGCCGCAACCTGCGCATTCATCGCAACATTTTCATGAAAGTAGGGCGCCAGCGGAATTCGTCTTTGTTGTGTAGGAATGATCGGCGCTATATGAGGTGGATCGGGTGGCGGGGTGCCGTTGAAGTAGCCGTGGAGGTGAGTCTTCTGTTGGTAGCTGGGCACTGCGCGTGCGTCTTCTGTTCTCTTCGACTTGCGGAAACCATAGTTGTGTGGGTTCCCAACGCGCTGTGAGTGTAAATGAGCTGGAGCCATAGTGAGGCGGCCGGATGGTTGGTGATAGTGGCTCTTTTGCGCAATGCGTAGTGGTGTGGGTGTCGTGGGCGTTGTCGGAGTGTAGCTTTTGACTGTCTGGTTGAGTTGTAATCCAAGGCTCGCATTGAGGTCTTGAACCCTCGGGGTGGTGATGTAAAGCCACAAAGCTATTGTACGCCGAGCTATACGATGATCCTCTCACGTCCTCCGTTTTCACCATGGTGAGAATGACCTCAATAGGCAGTGGTGGACGTGAGAGACAAACGAGAGAGTTGCCCCATTGTGCGACGACGTAGTATTAAGAGTGTGATGTTACCTAGGGAGAAAGGGTTTGTATCCCGGTAAGGACCTTCTAAACGCGCGTGTCGATTGACTGCTTTCCATGGTTCACAGTAGCGGGAGTGGGTGGTGACTTGCTCTTCGGGCAATCAGGTAGGCGCTATCGCCGAAAGCGGGTCCGGGCATCGTCGGCAGCGCCGTGCCTATCGCCGCAAAATAAAACGCGCATCACAAGCGAGAAACACGATTATGAGAGCGCAGCATGAGAGGGAGGAAACAGGAAGAAAACCGCGAGGCAGCTGATATTGGGGGTCACGTTGGGGTTAGTAAGCGGGGGTGGCGGGCGCGGGCCCGGGGGACAGCAGGCGCAATTCACATCGCGGCTGCATGAGTGGGCGGCAGGCCAGCTACGAACCAGCGCTAGCCTTCACAACCTTGGAATGTATGTAATGCACGATTTTCGCCCCACAAGATCTTCGGTTCAGTGGTGTGTTTCACGATTTTGCTTTTCTAAGATGTGAGACGAGGCTGTAAATTGCTTGTCCACCTCCGACAGCAAAGAAGTGGAAGTGCCCTCCTGCATCGGTAACTTGCTAGACAAGCTTTCAGGCCACTGACACTTCGCAGAACAATGCCCAGTCTCAGACTCTCACCCTCCAAGCGTAGACACACTCGACGTATGGTACCTAGCTAAAAAGATCTCCGTCCTTCACAGAAAAGGCACTCTTATAGCCATGACGAAATCCGATCCACTGAGGTGCCCGAAGAGATCAGTGACGAGCATGCGCGCTGCCATTCTGGGAGGCTGCTGACGAACTGTCCTTGATCCAGGACCATGTCTCGTCCATGTCCATGGGGGCTGAATGAACCGAGCCCGCAGACTTGCTCTTGGACTTCTTGGCCTTTACATTGACAGTGTGTGGAGTCGAAGAGACAGCTCTGGTGTTTCTGGGCGCTGGAATGTAGGAGTAACGAGAAGCACGCAACCTCGCAGCTCGAGCTACTTCTTGCGCGTCCTTGACAACCTGTCGGGCCCTGTACAACTCGTCCCTGGCGGCACGTGCAGCCTTCTGGATTCGCCTCTTCTCTCTGGCGTCACGTTGCTGCCTACGCGTGAGCCTGGCATACTCGTCGGCTGGCGTAGTGACTGGACGCGAAGACTGCGGAACGTTGACGGCGGGAGG